GTTCAGGCAATTCTCCTGCCTCAGCCTCCTGAGTAGCTGGGACTACAGACACGCGCCACCATGCCCAGCTAATTTTTTGTAGTTTTTTAGTAGAGACGGGGTTTCACTATGTTGACCAGGATGGTCTCGATCTCTTGACCTTGTGATCCACCCACCTCGGCCTCCCAAAGTGCTGGGATTACAGGCTTGAGCCACCGCGCCCGGCCCCACTGTTCATATTTCTTATGCTCTTTCTTGGATACTTCCCTCCCTATCCCATCTTCTGGATGTCAGTAGGTTCTGAAGTTGTTTTTTTTCACATAAGGGAGAGCGTAAACTTGATTATCTAATTTTGTTAAATGTTCTTTTGCCCTCAGTGATTGTTAGTTGCACACAGTATAGAATGGGTGGTCAAAAGCCTTTTTTCTCAAATTGTTAAAGGCTGCATTCCATTGTTTTCTAGAATCCAGCATTGCCAATAGGAAGCCTCTTACTAGGCTGCTTCTCATTTCTTTTTCTTTTTTTTTGAGATGGAGTCTCACTCTGTCACCCAGGCTGAAGTGCAGTAGCATGATCTTGGCTTACTGCAACCTTTGCCTCCTAGATTCAAGTGATTCTTCTGCCTCAGCCTCTCAAGTAGCTGTGACTACAGGTGTGCATCACCATACCCGGCTAATTTTTGTAGCTTTTTTTTTCTTTTTTTAGAGATGGGGGTCTGGCTATGTTGCCCAGGCTGGAGTACAGTGGCTATTCACAGGCGTGATCCCACTACTGATCAGCATGGGAGTTTTGACCTGCTCTGTTTCCAACCTGAGCTGGTTCACCCCTCCTTAGGCAACCTGGTGGTCCCCCACTTCTGGGAGGTCACCATATTGATGCCGAACTTAGTGTGGACACCCAGTCGGCATAGCGCACTATAGCCCAGAACTCCTGGTCTCAAGCAATCCTCCCACCTCAGTCTGCTGAGTAGCTGGGACTACAGGCACGTGCCACCACGCCTGGCAATTTTTGTAGTTTTCATAGAGATCGGGTTTCACCATATTGGCCAGGCTGGTCTTGAAGTCATGACCTCACGATCTGCCTGCCTCAGCCTCTCAAGAGTGCTGGGATTACAGGCTTGAGCCACTGCGCCCAATTCTTTATGATGTCTTTATTCTCAGGGTTGATGAATTGCAAGAGGATGTGCTCATGGGAGGGTCCCTTCCTTCATCCTCTTCTGTGGTGAGCTGGTTCCATCTGAGCCTTACCTGCTTCAGCAAGAGCCTGCTCTTCCTTTCCGTGGGTTGCTTTTCCAGTCCTTCTGGACTTCACAGACACGTCTTCTCCGTCCTTTCTATGCTGCTTGCATGTGTTCTATGCGTTTTTGCTTTGTGTTGTCAGAGGTTGCCTTGACTTGATTCTACGTCACCCCCCCAGTCTAGAGCCAGGCCTCCTGCTAAAGGTACCTTGTGCAGTCATGCCTTGCCAGGCATTTTCTTTTTCCCATTAGTCTCCTGCAGAGGCAGTGGCAGCTCAGGGAAAGCAGAAACTGTGAAAACAGGCGTGAACCACTTTAGTAATAAATAGAGTTGGCAACACGTGTGGCTGGGTTGGATTTTGGGGCACAAGACAAAGGAAGGACATAATTTATCTTCTCTGGCCCACAACTCTATGAGGCTCAATTTAGTACTGAAGAAAAAAAATGTGCCTTTTTTCACCTTAAAGTTTAAATTGTTGATTTCAGAGTCCATCTCCCCAGATTAATCCTGAACATTTAGCCTTGAGGTCTGTTGGCATCAGAAAAGAGAAAAAAAGGAAAGGCCTTCAGTTAACTGAGAGTACCCTGTCAGCCCTGGAAGAGGTGGTCAGTGTTTCCTGTGGTGAGTAATACACATTGATCGTTCTCAGTTCTGTTCACCAAACCCCCAGAGGATTATTACTCATAATTCGTGTCCAAGGAAGATGGCTAATTCTAGGAATCAATGTTTGTTTCCCCTGCAGAAGAAGTAGATGGCTGCCCTGTCATTCTGGTTTGTGGATCCCAGGATGTCGGAAAGTCAACATTTAATAGATACCTGATTAACCAGTTGTTAAATAGGTAAGAGTGCTTTTCTTACGGCCTTGACACATTGCTAGGTTTTTGGCATGAAGTGGGATTTTTTATTTGGTTGGAGTGCTTCTTGGCTTCTAGCTGGAGATGACATACAGTTCTAAAGCTGCCCAGCCGAAGCATCTGCTTCTCACTGCCCTCTGTTTTGCAGTATGTGACAATGCTCTAGCGTGGGCTGACTTGCCCTTGCCTTCAAGGAACTTCCGAGAGGAGACACTTGGTCTCAAAGTCTGTATTTATAAGTTCTGTTGTGTGTGTGCATGGTTTGTTTTGTTTTACCCACCAACTTC